CTGCTGCACTTTGTCAATCATGGCAGAGCCTGCTCAATATCATTTGAACGGCCCTGTCTGCCCCGGGTCTTGTTCCGCCTTTCGCTGAACAAGGGACTGATCCTTGGTCATCATTCACTCTTTCCACCTCGTCATATGCATCGCTGTCTCTGATATCATCCTCACCACGGTTCTGTCCGGTTTCAACCTGAGCAGCCTTGATGCTTCGATTGTCCACACGAGGGTTCGGATCGAGCAATCACACCACTGGAGACGTGCAATGATTAACCTGCATCATGTCTACCTCGATTCTTCATTTGTCACCGACACGGCATCGTCCGTCTGGACGCGACTGCGAGAAATAGTGTCCTGTTGATTGTCCTGTACGCAGTGGTCTTGAATGGTGCCATCCACTCACTGGATCGAGGTGTGAGATGGCACATGGAGTCGTTTGTGCACTGGGAAAGTTGGAGCTCGACCACGAGGGCTGTACAGTGAGTTCTGGCCATCATATCTGTGCTCGGGCCTGATCATCCAGGAAATAGGCAATCCCCCAGCCCTGCCGCTCTCTCTGAGCAGGTCTATGTTGAACGGTATTCACCATGGCCATGCCGATATGGGTCAGGATCGGGAGAGTTTGGATTTGCCCATCATTACTAGTCTTCGCTGGAGTGGTGAAGAGGACGCGCCAGTCTTTCCCCCTTAATCAGCTCAGGGTCTCGTCTTTGGGCCACTTCGACGTTGATCAAAAGGTGCAGCACCCACTACCACATGTGGAGGTCGACTTGGACAGGGCTTTTGGTGGCTGAATTGCATGATTACAAGATACATCGTTCTTGACCAGACTCAGGCCTCCATAAATGCTGGGTCGTTCCACTGCTTGTGGACTTACTTTGAACACGACAGCTTCATTATCATCCAGGCTGTGTTGCTCATGAATTTGTGGTCAGCAACACCTTCAGAGGCCCGCATCGAGAGCAGCCGCCCTCTTCCAGACGTGTCCTTCAATCGACCCGTTCCCTTGACGCACGACTTATCTGCGGGGACCACTCAATTTCTTGCACACCAAACCGTGGCGCGTGAGCGTTGTCGCTGTAGCACCGACCGCGGGTCGCTCCTCGAGGGCGTCTGGGGTGATCTGGAGCAATGAGCAGGCCCTGAGTTCGAAGGGACTACAGAGGAAGACATGGCTCTGACAGAATCGGAGGTTTCGCGTCCTTTTTTCTGACCGACACGTCCTGCCGTGGCTAATCCATCTGGTTCGTCTCGTTCCTCGAGCGCAGCAGCATCGGCGCCTCCAACGTCGCTGGCATCTCGCAGGGTGTCAAACTCGTGGGGACCGAGAACAGTCTGGCACTCATTCTCTCATATATCCCCTCCACCGTGGTCGATGTACCTTTGGACTGGATTCAGGTATCGTCTCTCGGACTTTTTGCTCGCCTGTTCTCATCAAAGGCGAGGGCTTTGTTTGTTGAATAAGTTTTGTGAGTGTCGGTATCGTTCAACGGTTGGCTGACATCCGACGAAGGGCTGTCTGTGCATCAAGACCAAGACCTGCCACGACCCAGAGATCCTCATGGACGAAAATCAAGTGCCGATCCGGGCTGGAGACGAGAGTCAAAGATGGCTACTCGTGTTGAGCACTCGCTGGGAGTCATTGACATCAGTGGTCTTCTAGAAACCAGCGGCTTCGGATAGAGGGCGCCGACTCATTGGCTTCCGCAACCAACTGAACGACTTGTACGACCCCTTGGGGAATTGTATGTGACTGACTCAGTCACCGGGGAATCCATTCCATGCTCCTCTGTGCGTGTCGCCCGCCTCAGCCCGATATTGGTCGTCGCAATCAAGTCGTTGCTTCGTCCTTCGGCTGGTTGCTTCTGCAAGCTTGCTTGGTTGCTCCCTCGTAACGGTCATCGCCCCAGCTGCCGTTGTCGAACCTCTTGTACTCATGGTTGTCTCTCTGATCGGCCATGGGTACTAGGCCTGTGCAAATACTGGTCCTGCGAGCGCTAGAAGCAGCATCCCAATCCCTCTCGACCTATCAACTGACTGCTGGAGTATCAGTGGACGCCGCGGGTGTCGAATAAGAGCACTGGGATCTTGGAGGTTGCGCCTCGACGACGCCGAGAGAGAGAAGAATGCCTCGTTGTGAACAATGTGCCGAAAGACGTCGATTCAACATCAGTCCAACAGCACCGCCGATGGTTGGAGGCTGTGGCGAATGTCAACAACGGTAAATCTCTAGAGATTGTGCAAACGCGGAAGATTGTATGCCTGTTCAAGTCCTGATCCGGCCATTGAAATCGACCCAATCAGCAAGGAATATCTGCGACGGCTGCAACTCGACACTCTGGGGAGCTTGAGGAAGACTATGCGCTGCAGAAGACCGTGTAGCAATCTGGTTTGGAGAAAAGCTTGGACGACGACGACATTCTCGAGTTTGTTCCACTGTCCATGGAAGCATCTGTTTCAAAAGCTGACTAGGAGGGCCATCAGTGACGACCTCACAGAGGGGGTTGAGTGTCTTGCTAGATGCCATCGATGCAGTCCACATGTTGTTGCCCAGCGTCCAGTGCTTGACATTATAGGGCTCCTCGTGGCTCTCAGGTTCACATTGTCCGTGTCCTTGGTGCAGCTGCAGTACTCGACCCATGCCATGGCGTCGTCGAGGGGGCCCGTGCCAAAGTTGACGCAGAGATAGGACTCCAAGGGTGTCGCCACAGGGATGTCGTTCCTCTTACAGACGTCAGGCCGAGCCTGGATAATTTCGAGGACGCCAACCGGGAAACCAGCTGTAAATGAACCTCCCTGAGTACATTTGTTTCACCCTTGGCCCTAAGATGGAAGATATCGAGGTGGACAAGGTCTTCATCGGCTCATGCAACAGCAGGGTGATGCCTTGGAGGCACGGATTCGACACGATGCCGATGAGTGGGCTCGCTCGCCGACTGATCAGGATGTAACTGCGCGACAATCCATCAATCAGGGATTCCTAACCTTCTGATAGCACTCGACGGGCACGAGCGACGAGGCCTCAACCACGTGGTCGAGTCTAGGAACAACGTCGGAAAGACTTCTTTTCTTGTAAAGCATCTCCGAGCCTCGAACGGTCCGACAGCAGGCTGCGCAGCTTCCGCATCAAGGCCAACTTGTTATGACGCAGCACTCGTCTTCTCGCCGACCCAGCTTATAGAAAGCCGGTGATAGCTGTGGTCGGCTTCAACAGTCTTCTGCAAGAACGAGAATCATGGTGTCTTTGGATCAAATTGTTTGACGCCCTCAACCACCGGCAAACGGCTGCAGCAGTCGAGCGACCGACAGAGCTGCCCTTAGTCTATAAGATGTTTTCTGCCTTGGATGTCCTCGGTCACTGACCTTGTCTGAAGGGGATCAGCTGCTATCGTCATGCCATTCATTCTCATCAGCACCTGAGCCGAGCCTCAAATACTTGGAAGTCAAAAGTATATGTCGCCTCATACGTCGAAAAGAAGTAAAGCGGCAATGAATCGAGAAGAATGGGCTAATTGGTGTTGTGCTTTGTATCACCTCGAGACTGGACAACCTGTTACAGCCTGCCTCCCAGCAGGCAGGCTCATCTCGTTGTAGATCCTTCCTGACGGCGCAGGGTGGAACGCATCAGCCATATTCTTGAATGCTGATCTGCCAGCATGCTGCTAAAGAGTTCTGGGTTTAGAGCGGACTACTTCCGAATTACTTGATCGCTTGGTCGTTGGTATAAGTACTCCTCCAAGCCACATTCCTGCCCGAACTTTTGGATAATGCCAGTATATTCCGATCTTGAGGAAGAGAGAGCATGACAAGAGGTAGGTAGCTGCATTCGACATCCATCTTGCTGAAACGACCAGCGATGGGGGGCCTGGGTGAGGAATCACCAGTTTGTGGACCTTTTGACTGCGTGCGACACCGCCTTCGATGGTCGGGGTATGTATGAGACGCTTGGTCAAGGAAGTGGAAGGTTGTTTTGTTATTTTTTCAAAATTCCATGATGTGGCGAAGCTGAGAGCTTTCAACGCGTATGTTTTGAGCCGATGGAACCACAAAGACCAAAGAGACAAGTGCCGTTGATCGCTCCTCAAGGCCTATCTTTTGTTGAATCGACGCTTCTTTTCGGCCACCATTTTTGTGTATCATGCCAGGCACGCCGCACCATGTGTATCCTGTGTTCCATACCAGCTTCTATCACAGTTCGCTCGGTGGTAGGAGGGAATAGGTTCGCTTCGATACATAGGTTGAGCAACATATGCCTGACGACAGATTTCTCTCGTACAGGCAAGGCGCCCAGGATATATTGACGTTCGTCCATTTGGATTGTGGATGGACGGCAGCGTAGTCTCTCCGGACTCGGACGGCGAGGATCTTGAAGGTGTGGTACTGTGCATGGTTGAGGCTGAGCTTTTGCAGTACCTGGAGAGGAGGTTCTCGGAGTTTGATGGGCAGTCTTCCATCCATGCTTCAAGTCTCGAAGCAAAAGTAGGACGGAGATTTGTCAGTGGAGGAGGAAAAAGATTCTGCTGCTGCTCAAAACCCCACTTTTCCGTTCAACGACAAGGGGTGTAGTTCTTGGCAATTATCAAAATGACAGGGATGTGGTCTCCACGTGCTTTTTTCTGTCCAAGCAAAGGGGAGACAACTGTTACACAATTACACAACGGTCCTGAATGTCTGTTCTCTTGGTCTTTTCCTTCGAGTCTCGCTCATCAGGATTGAAGCTCTGCATTCAGACACAGAAGCGTCCCCGGTGAGTATGTTGGCGTCGCAAGACGTGGCATATTCCTGCACCATTGATGCAAGCGAAGAAGGTGACTTTGTACCGAGTCAGAGATTACAAGACCACTGCTCGTTGAAGCCTGGGCGGTAATATCAAGGATGCCTCAATATAATCGACGGGAGGTGATGATGATCGAGTAAAGATTAGCCTGATTTGTGGCTGAAAAGCCTGGACGATGCGTTGCGCAGGTTGAGTGCTGATGATATTGTCGACATTCGCAGAGTATCAACTATAAGGCCATCTGGGCCTCATCAGTGGGAGATGCAGGAAGTCTCAACCTATCTATACTGCAACGGACGCAAAGGTCTGCGAATCGCTCGGGCTGATTCTCGGGACTTGCTGCATTGGCTGTATTCTTCGAGTCCTGAAAGAGGTAGCCGAGTCTGACTTGTTCGCGCTGGATAATAGCTGACTCGAGCAGATGACTTGGATGCATACGTACAAGCAGTTCTCTGCCCTCGTCAAGAGGTAGGTCGAGGAGTGCCGTCATGCCACCGGAAATTTTCTGGCCGCTTGCTTCGTGGACATTGAGCGTGATTTGCCCGTGCTCGATCCCTTGATCGGCAGAGAAGTAATTTTGTCCAATGCTCATGGCAAACGGTGAGCACAGGGTGAGATGTGGAAAGGCAGAGTAAAGGTCGCAGTAGTAGGTGCTCTGACTGGTATTTTTTGGACTCCTCGCTCTTCAATGGAGGCAGAAGATCGTTCCATATTGACGTTAGTTGTAGTATATCTTTCTTCCATTCTAGATCTCCTCAAGGTCGACATATTCGGGTTGAACCTCCTCGTCTTCCTCGATGCATTCACCATCTTTGTCGAATAGCGGTTGGGCACTCAGGAGTTCCTGTACACTTCGTTAGCTGGGCTTGACTGGATGTGATGATATAGCAGACCCCGTCGACTGACCGAGACAGAAGCGCCTCTCTTCTGGCGTCTGAATCACCACCAATGACGATATTGTCTCCATCATCAGCTGAATATTGGTCTCCGCTGTGATCTTGGGTTCTCTGACGCTTGTTGGATGGCTCTGTATCATCGGATATGAGGAGTGTCTGGTCTGTTGCTTGGATCTTTTTGAATACTCTGCGGAGTGGCTCACGAAGGTACCGTCGATTAATCCAAGATGGCGCAAGAAGTAGCGAGGATCAAGGTAAGTAGATGGAGGCGGTCAAACGGTGAGAGACAAGGTGAGATTGTTGCTCCCATTGAGATATCGAGGTGGAGGAAGGTCCAAAATGTTTCAAAACCCGCCAAGTCCGACAGCCACAACGACTTCTTGACTTCCTTCAATTCACTTCCTTTGACCAGCGTATTCACCACCCAGCCATCCGTCGTCTTCTCTGATCCTCATGGCGGCAATTCTCCTCCTTGTTCCGTTCGCAGTCATGATCCCGCTGGTGTTCGTTTGCTGTGGAGCTACAGTGTTAGTTCTGACATTGGACTGGCTGATACAACACATGCCGTTGGTCCTGCCTTTAACCTTGATTATAGCCCTTGAGCAGTATGTATACGGGCATATATTGAGAGGCTAACTGACTGACTTCCTCCAGCGCCAGCCAACTCTAGCACTCCATCCACTTCCGGCGGTCGTCAAGGAGTCTTCCTCCCTCCTGGGTCTCGCTCAGGTAATCTTCTTTACCACTCGGTCACCACTCGCTATGTATCGATGTTTGATCCCGCGCTCTACACTCCTCTACACTCCTCGTGCAGATACACCAGTGCCACGGCAGTTCAGCTGCAAGAACTGGGACATTGAGAACACCGAACGCACTGAATCAGACAAAACTCGGCCGGGGAGGTCTTCCGGCCCCCTAGGGTAGGCATGGTGGCGTGGAAGAGAAGATATTAGAAGGCGGTTAAGTGAGGAGCAGGAAAAAAAAACACGTTTTATATGCCTAGGATTTTGACTTGGCCGCTGTATTTAGTCTGACAGGTCCCCGAGAACCTAGTATAATTCACGATGTTCCTCCATTGATTCAATATTGATATGGTATTTCATTGCTCAGTGCTCGGCAGTCAATTAAACAACAACAACAGATCGGCCTCTGTGCGTTCTTGCACGGGCACGCCGAACCTTGAACGGTGCTCGTATAATATGAGAAGTATTTACCCATCCAGACCAGACACCTGAGCGGCCACGGACACGGCCGGTCCGCAGTCCTTTCCTCTACCTAGGGCCTCGCTTCTCCCGAAACAGTCCACAAGAGACCAAGAAAAGTCCCCCAAGCCGCGTGTGCTCTGCAGGCTTTTCTTCTCCAATCGAAGACATCTGGTGTTATGCCAGAGACAACAACAGAAACTACACAGAACTGAGAACATGGAGAAGAGTTCAACCATTGGCGGAATATGGACAGGATGGCAAACAGTGGCGGCAGTCTAGCCGCAGCTCCACGTGGTGTGTAATATCGCTTTTTTGTGGTGATGATGGAGGAGGTGGTGGTTCGCATATTCCTTCGAGCGCACCACGGCGCGGGCCGAATCTTGAATGAAGACAAGTTTGCGACGGGCCAGAGACGACCGCCAGAACAGGACAGAAAGAGAAAGAGTAGGGAAGCCATGAACAAAGACCATTGCGATTGAATCTCCTTGGTTGGAGAATCCGGCAGCCACTCTATAGTAGACTGAATCTATGTCCCAATATCGCAAGCAAGCGAGCAGGCCAAAACAGATAAGAGAGAAGCCGAGCAAGAAGAAGTAAACAACAGACAGAGATTATTCAAGAGCCAGCAAATACCTCGCTCGGTCAATCCGACCGGCCGGTGCCAAATGATACAAGACAAGATTAAGGAACATGACCTCTTCTATTCCCCTTCGATGCCTTGTCGAACACGAACACGGATTTACTTGCCTTTTGGATGCTCTGAGAGCTGTTATAGCTTCAGAACTCTGACCCTCTTCCAACTTTCCATGACTTGTCCGTGGCCAGATGCGAGTGGTGAAGGTTCAAAAGCGATGGATGTCTCGTCAGAGTTCAGGGACGGACAATATGCTCCGCTGGTCATGTTTACGCTCTTGACACAGGCGCAATAGCAGCAACAAAACCTATGACGGCTGTAAGAAGGCGATCTAGGTGCACGAGCTGAACCAAGAGTCAGATTTGGGGCGATCTCCATCCATTCTGGTTCATCCCGAGCCTCCTTAGCTCCCGTTCACGGTGACTGTCGGGTCTTGGATGACGCAAGCTGCCTGCACTTGAGGGTGAGTGACAGGATTTGTCGAGGACACAGGCTCCTCCTCAACGGGTGCCCCCAGTCCCAGATCTGGAGCTCATCATGGGCTGCTCGAAGGACCTCAGGTCGCAAACCACACCGGAATGCCAGAGAAGTTGTGAGTGGACGAATGAGCATGATGGCAAATCTCCCATCCTTGTGTGATTTGAGCCTTCTTACCCACCCTCTTGGGATTGATCTATCTATACCTTTGTGGTTACTGACAAGACCGACGACTAGAGTATCAACCATGCGGTAGCTGCAGCAAATGAACCTGGCCCTCGCGCAAGCCAGTGACCTTCACGACATCTACAAGCACCTTTAATTGATGAGAGGGTGGAGATGGAACCTCATCTCACTGTGTATCCTGCCCTCAACGCAGCTATGGACGGAGCTTGTGTCGCCGTTGGAGGATCCGTCGACTTATTCTTCTCCTTCTCCGTCTCGAACCAAAGCGAGTGTTCCTTTCTCAACCGATTATGGAGGCAGTCCTGCAGGCCAAGCTGACGGATGATATGCCTAAAAGTCCTGGAGGGAAGCACTGCCATCTCATGCTCTCTATATCGCTGCTCAAATGACACAAGACTGATGATGGGCGTCCTTCTTCTCCTTCTTCTCCTTCTTTCCACAGAAAGACCGAGTACTCCGTCTATCCGGTTTGATTGATCAAAACAAATGATACAAATATACCGAGGACTGAGCTTACCGTCGAAATCAGACCCTTTCCACTCATTCCCCCACGATATAACACACTGGGTACCAGTGCACAACAAAGAGATGCAGTTTCACAAAGAGCTTGCCTCCCTGTCCACAGCGAGGCCTGCAGAAAGCACGAGGGAGCAAGAGCTGGACAATATAGCTGCCTCAATCAAGAGATACTTTCACGATGTCCTCATGCTTCTCTCCTTGTTTGCACCCGCGCAACCGGCTTATCTGCAGATAACATAGCGGCTCCGGGGTGACGGTGACCTGGATATTCTTGCAAAAACCCTCGATCTCGACGTCGACGCCCTCGCCCACGGTTATGTCTGTTGGGGGAGCATCCTTTCTCCTCCGCATACCTGGACGAGCCCGCATTGTCTTCTCCCGTCGATCCAGGCTTGCTGAACTCACCGAGATTCATCGAAACCTGCCCGAAAGGGCGGCGGTAGCACATCCCAAATACGCAATATATTGGAACCTGAGCTATCAGTATAGTAGAGGACCAAATTGGACCAAATCCCCCAGCTCACGAAGGCGCGTAAAGCGAAGTACATGTCACAGTCTCGACAGCCTCGTTTGGGCTACCCCATACGAGGCTGAACATGTGCCCTTCTGCCGCACAACAGCGAAGTCTTTCGACCCGGAATTCGCATCGTAATGGCATCCTAACAGTTGAGATTTCCTCATGCCACAGGCTGCGTCGTAGTAGGCGAAGTGTTCTTCTACACGGCTGAAATCAAAATGAGGCCGAGAACAACGACGAGGAGGATCCTGACTGAATGTTTTGGCTGGCCATTACTTCTTCCTTACCCCCTACCCCCTTTCTGGACCATTGTACGAGCTACGTTCTAAAGGTGAGATCAATATGTGATTCTTGGTAGAGGTCAAATAACTACTAGCTGAGTCGAATCTCCCCCTCCGGTAACGGCGACGAATGCTCTGCGTTGTAGCTGCGTTGAAGGGAATCCCCTAACAGGTGGGCGGTACCGACTCGCTCTCTCTCGCCACTCCCTCGCTGCGGACATGTTGCGAACAGGCAGAATCTCAATACTGGCGCCACAATCCTGGGATCCAAGGTGTCTATGTTCCTCGGTTCAACCCTCGTCCTCCGCATCTCTCGCGATTCCTTTTTTTTCGCTATCCTCGATTCAACCGGGCGGTGGTGGGTTTTCACAAACCAACATTGAGCCACGCAGAAGACACCTTTCAGAAATCCTCTCTATGAGTGCCATGGCTGCGGAAGCGAACAGTGACGTGCTGGCTGGCAAGAGCTTGGGAAGCAAAGAGAAAGGACAATATTGCGGAGATGGTTTGAAATTGCGCTGGCAGCTTCTACACTTTTTTCAGTGTTGAAGAATCAGAAGGTGATTACTTACACCCTATCTCGACGAGGACCTTCTTGAACGCCTCCTCTGGACGCTCTGTCGGCGGCCGCAGCGGCGACGGTGGCGGTGGCAGTCCAGGTCACAGGAGCCCGGTGGAGCGAAGCTGGACGCTTGCTGGCTGCTCCAACTGCCGCTGGGATTGGTCGCAAATTCTCGATCAAAGTCGATCCAGATCATTAATAAAGGCGTCACGGCGCTCGCTGATGCGTGGGCCCACGCCCATAGGACTATATCCTTGCTGAAACTGGGCGAGCACCCCGAGCCTCGATGCCTCTCTCGTCCAAGGCCCGACTTGAGCCGGAACATAGATGCGGACTGTTTGCAGAACATAATGTACTAAGGCTTCAATACACCATGTTTTATAACCCCTTCTCTGGTTCCGTTGCGAAAACGCGCCACCAACCGGGTTCTCAGCTTTCACGGCGCTGCATCTTCATCGGGAGGACCCCCGTCCAGATCAGAGGTTTCTCCCGCTCAGACTGACTCTAGTAAGTGCCGCAATTGTGACTGTTTTCGACCAGTTAATGACAAACTCTGGATATGGAGAACTAGATATGAGCCCGCCCCACGAAAGCGTCCTCGCAAACGTGCACGCGTGAGCACAGTTGTGCGTTCACACTTTGAAGTGCGGCCAATTCCACGGAACCAGCACTGACTTGCTAGCAGGATTGGAGGAGCACGCTGGTAAGTGGGTGCTGACTTGGACCTGGCGCTCATTCTGTACAGATCTTGACACAAGTCTCGGTTCAGCACTGATATTGATATGGTACAAAGTCTACCGAACACAAGAGGGGGCGGCAATGCGACGCGGTCTAACGGTCATCTCAAGTTTACCTCTCCGCCCTTACTACCTGTCCTTAAGGACTCGGGAGTGTGTACGTACGGAGCATCATATCCCCAAGAAATTCATGGAAAGCCACAACTGTAAGAGGAGGAGTGGGGTTTGGGGAGGCTGTACCGAAGATCTCCTCGCAGCAATGTCTTGCATGCTGCTCACATAGTGATGGAGAAGCTGGACTTGGCAGCTGCACACTTTCCACGACGCCAGCTTTGCCTGGTGGATGCTTTTCATTACCACGGGACGAACGAGTTGAGTGCGAAATGGGCATTCCGACTTCATCGTGTCTATCGGATGGATGCCCCCGGTCTTTCTCGAACCGCATTGATGTGCCTGCGCCCCTCTTGTTTCGTGGAATCAGGCCTGTCACAATCGTACATCACGAAGTGCCACAGCATTCCCTGCCGCCGACTTTCCCGATCGAACGTGCAATGCAATGTAACGCAATGGCAACCAGGGCTTGCAAATCCACAAACACACCAGGAATCGCTGGCTTCTGCTGTTGGAGAGGGACAGGGACGGGGAGGCAGTACCAAATGTATCAACGAAAGGGGAGTCCAAATACCCTCTGAGATATGAGACGTGAGATGGAGAAGCCACGCCCACAACGCACATCTCGCTGGCTGGCTGTGTTGACGTGTAGATCCGCCACCTACGACGCATGTCCTTCCCAGGAAACCAACAAACTACAGACTGGGTGGGTGGGTGTCAAACAAAACACGCTTTCTACAGACTTGACTGACTACTCTGGCTTCTGCAATGGCGCTTTTACGACAAGGACAAGTGTACATATACATATGCATACATATATATGGCTTCGAGTAGTTGGCTACCTACCTCCCTAGCTACCATAGATACTTGTGCTTGTTTCGTGGCCTCTTCAACGGCTTGCGCAGCCTGGGTTTCAGGACTGCTTCCGCTGTTGCTTCTTCTTCTCCATGCATGGAGCCAGAAAGACGGCTGGGAGCGCCTGTCTCGTAACAATTTTCCTCTGCAAGAAAGAGAAGCAGTGTCACTTCAAGGGTGCCTCCTCTTTGCACGAAGCCTGGATGCGCTGAAAGCTCGGGGTGGTGCAGGGTAGATGGGTGAGTGAGCTACGAGCTCTGCTGCTGACATCTTGGGAGAATTGCCCCGGCCGTTTGAAGGAAGCGGCCGGGCTTCGTAGGACGGGCAATCAGGATTGGCGTCCTGCATCAACTACATAATGGGATGTCGCTAAGAGTCCTCCGTGGGTTGTTCTGGGAGGGACACGTACATATGAAGCCCCAGCCTCGCCATGAAGAACGAGGACTTGATTGAGAACTGTCGTAGACGCCATCGAACATAAACCGTAAGGCAGTCGGTGAGGTTTCATCAAAGATATAAGATATTCGAGCAGTGACTTTTGCAGACCTGGAGCATTGTTATAGACCTGCAATGTGTTGTGTAGCCCCAGTATTGATGCAGCTGGCTAAGCACCTTGATAGAGGAACGAGACTGAGGCGAGGCTGAGAAGAGGAAGGAACTGGCCAGAGCAATTGACTCCTGCCCAATGTTCAATGGCTCCTGCTGCGTCATAGAAACCAGGTTCGACTTACTCCATCTCTCCCTCCTCCGAACCCCCCACCCTCTTTCTCTCCCCTCATCATATCCATCTCTTTCACCACATCTCATTCCACCCTCATCGTTCCATCCCATCTTCTCTACCTTGTGTCTGCTGTTTCAAGCTTCGTTTCCGTGGCAAATACCACGGGATATCAATTCTGCACCATGAACCTGCCCCCCATTCCTCCATTGGCTGAAGACAATGCAGAGGTGGCCACCATTATCGAAGATATCAACCGTCGTACCGTTGGTGACCCGCCTGACACCGCTCGCTGGATTGAATACCCCCTGTCAGAGCCGAACTGGATCGTGACGAACAAACACTTGGCTGAGCAGAGAGGGCCAACTCAGTATGTTATGAAATACAAGACGAATCCTCACCTCGATTCCTGCTGACCGAGATGTAGATACGGCTATTTTTGTGGCTTGGAGACCTTCGTTCACCAAATCCCATCCCCGGCTCAGCAGTTGTTCATTCAGTCTTTCTCTCGGAAACTCCTCAAGAAGTTGACGAAGCTGTGTAGACGACACCGCGTCAGGATGTTCAGGAAAAGAATCTTAGCCATCACGCCGCCTACTTCGAAAGCAGGGTCCAACGCCTGTCGAGATCTACATCAACCAGACGCCTTCTTCCACCACGTTTGTCTCCCCAAATATGGTGTCGTGGTCGAAATTTCCTACTTGCAGAAGCGGGAGAGACTACAAGAATTGGCCGAGTTCTACATTCTCAAAAGCAACCGCAAGGTCCGATTGTTTGTTGCTTTCGATTACGACCACCTTCGCACCTGGAATGTGTCCATGCACACATGGAGACGAGACTATACAGACCCAGAAGGCCGGAAGCTGAAGCACCATTATCAGGTTAGTGTATTGCCACCAAATCCGAACCGTTTCTCACGTTTGTGTCTAGGAGATCCGTGGCGACGATGGAAGACTCGTTCCCGGCCCTCCTCTCCGCGTATGCCTGCTTGATTTCGCACGCCAAGAACTCATTCCACCATTCTTACACGGTCGGAACATTGAACTCTCCGTGCGAGAAATCGGCGCCGTCATCGAAGAGGCAGACGCTCTGGAAGAGATCGAAATGGAGGAACTTGATAGCGATGGCGATTCTGAGGACCCAGAACCGGCAAGAGATGGTGGACATCTGGAATGGCCATTTGAAGAGGTTGGACACATACCATACCCATAGTGAAACCCAGCAGTGCCATACGCATCAAGCACCCGCCGACCAAATCCTAAAGACACCATGGCAGAAGCATGTCAGAACAGAAGGAGAGAAATGCGAGAGGAAGAAAAGCAGCAATCACGCACCACTATCCAACGTCTTACAACCTAGAAGTATACACAATATCATCAGAAACGAGGCTGCAAGAGGAGATGGTGGGCATCCAAGGCGACGACCCTTGACGTATCATTATCACAGGTGGTTACATGGCATGGGTTTGAAGGTCCTTGAGACGTTTCACTCTTTTCCTACACATAGGCAGATAGCAATGGCCAAGCAGTATATCTCATTGACGCGAATTCCTTTGCAATCGAGTGCCCAGACTCTGTGTGTGGGTTCGCCGACGCCTGTTTTGTATAGCTACTCTTTGTGTTGAGAACGTCCCAGTCTGTGCACTGGCCGATAAACTTCTGCACCTCTAGCTGGCTGTCCTCAACACCTCCGTTGACACCTCTTGACTGGCTGGAAATGCAAACCCTGGGACTTCCTCGATCCTTGTGAACCAGGAATCCTTTTGACACGAGGGCCGCGGCGTCGAACACAGTTGCATGTCCCCCTTTTTTCAGTCGGTTTTCCAAATTGTTAACGCATGGAGCAGGAGGACCTCGTACTCTCTTCTCGCAGCACAAAGTCACGTATATCCCTCCGGAGGAGAATGAACTCTGTTCAAAGACGGCGCGCGTCGAGTTCGATCCAGATCAATTGACGACAAGGGGCAGTCAAGTCAAGTCAAGTCAAGTCACGCATGGCACTTGCGGTAATGATGCGTGGGACCCGACCCCTTGCAAGGTCTTTCTTTGGCAGTCAGTCACCGACAAAACTGAGCGAGCAGAGCACCTCGGATTGAACCTTGATTTGCTGCTCTCTCGTTGTATCGTTGAATGAGGATCGATATATGTTTTCTTTTTCTCGTTGAACCGCGAACCGTGAACCGTGAACCGTGAAACACGCCCGGAAGAAAGGAAAGAAAGGCGCCCCCGAGGACCATTTTCCGTACAGACTGGTAAAGGATGGGGGGGACGTTCTGGCCAGGTATGTATGTAAGGAGGTATCGATGCCAACTTGGACCTGGACTTGGACCTGAACCTGGACCTGCAGCCGCGCTCGTCACGGACCTGGACACACAATTCTCGTGTTTGGCGTTTGGGTGTTTGGTATACCTCGGAAGATCCTATCCGGATAGATCAACGGAGAGAGGAAGAGGAAGAAGTGGCCAGCTCGTCGACACGATATATCCGTTATTTCAAAGTGTGGTTCTGTCTGCTTCAAGCCCCCTCTTGCGGCAGCGTGTAAGGATTCGGAAGTGCGCTACATACGTAGCATCCAGTCCCCGAACGCGCATGCAAAGGCCACGCGTGCCACAACGGTAGAGAAAGAGTTGGTCTCTCGCTGGGACGCGATGTGCAGGCCAGGATCTTTCCACCGCAATGGTTTTGTAAGCTAGGTGGGGCACAGACTTGGTGAGGGAGCGAGGGAGAGGCTGGGCTGGACCTGGACTGGACCGAGAGACACTTTTTTCCGCAACGCCAGCGTTTCACCTGGTAAAATGCTTTACCATTACCCATGGGAGGAACAAGTCAAGTTGTCGGAATGGTTTGGTTTCGTGCATTGGCATTGGAAATCCTATCTAGCTAGACAGATGGATAGATAGATAGATAGATCTAGTCCTTCCCGAAGGACCCCATTCGGTGGCGAAATTCCTCGAGGTACTGATGGTCGCGGGGTGAATGCTGTCTTGCTTGTTTGTGAAAACCCAGATACGCATGCATACCCATTTCACCGCACTATTTCGGAATTTCTGGGGCGAAGAACCAACTTCCCATAACAGACCGGCCCGACCCTGCAGGGATGTATGTGCTGGGGGTCAATTTCGTCCTTGTTTTAGTTCGGCCACCCACACCCACGCCGAGCTGGTGCGCTTGGTCTCTTGGACGTGAAAGACAAAGAGAATGGGATTCGACGTCGGGATCGGGGCGGGAGGAGATTCCATTTCCGTCTCAGGCCGTGTCGGTGCTGCTGGGCAGAGCCCTCTCGACGTGGACGTGACTACTACCAGCGTGGGAGGCCTGGTGAGCATATGGTTTCGGTACCGATGCGGGGGATGACGTTGCTTTAAGCTAAAGGCACGCAATGTCCATGACGGACTAGGCTTGAGATCCGATGCCGTCATTCGAAGCTTGGCGCTGTCTGGCCAGGTATTCGTCCAGTCTTTTCTGCTTTTCGACTTCTCGCTCGTCCGTTCGTCCTCGTTTCAAACTCCTCAGTGCCGGGGGCATCACGTTTCCATCCTTGTTCAAGCCCACGCTCTCAAACAGGACCTGCAGCTCTTCCACCAACCCACTGGCGACCTCCCTCGACTCCCCGGTGCCGTGCTTTAACTCCGTCTTTGCACGCTCGTACATGGTCTTCATTCGTTCAAATTTCGACTTGTCCCTTATCATTGTGATCATTTGATCTCGGTTCTGCCGCATCATGGCCAACTCGATCGCAGCTCGGCCGTCCTCGAAGGGGTCGTCTTGCTTCGAGGCCTCGGTATCAGGATCCAACTTTGCGTGCTGCACCACGTCTTTCTCCAGCCTTCCGCTGGTCTTGGCAGGGTAATCGTGTTCGTCCCCGCGGACAGCCACCGGCCAGGCCCACGGTGGCAGAACTGCCGTCACCAGACCCAACACCATGTTCTGACTGAGGGGTCCAAAGTAGTTTGAGTCCATGGACTTTTCGCGGCTGTTCGCGTCCCCTTCGACCCAGATATGGTTGTACGGCACAATCACAGGGTCATCGCCCCCCGGGTAGCCGGGCAGGGGTTTGACTCTGTCTCCCGGAACGCCGATGACCCTCTTGACGGCCAATTTTGTGGGATCGTGAGGCGCATAAAAGACCACAATCTGGCCCCTCTTCAGTGTCAACCGCGAAGACCCGTCTCTTGTCAGGTTCGGCCACGCCTCGATGCCCTTGACCTTTTTCACGAGGATGACGTCCGGCGCGGTCGGAGGGAGGTGCGGAGAGGAGTTGATGTTGAACAAGGGGGCCATTGACGCGCCCTGCACTCGCATGATGGTGTACGGGAACGACATGAAGAGGACCAGGAGCGGCGGCGCGATGACGAAGAGCCGCCATGTCCAGCTCCGGGCAAAGCGCCATGCGAAACTGTATCGTGTGTCTGACTCCCCCCCTGGCTTTTTCGCTCCGAGCTCCGCGCCCGTCGTTTGCGCAGATTGCTGCGCACTTTGACGTGTGGCGGTCTCGAGTGCGCTTCTGCTGGGGAGGGTGATCATGCAACGGGGTCCGAGGGCAGGACGATACCGATAGAGGTTCGGGGGAGGAGTGAGAATGTCGACCACATGGCGGACGCCATTGGAGATCAGCCCGCGGGACGGACGCAGCATTTGCGAACAAAAACTCGAGTAAAGAGGACTGCGTCGGCTTAGGCATCAACTCACCTCCGCCGGAGATGAACGCCGCTATTCCGTTCAGCCATATCTAGTCATATCTAGTGGTGCGCATGAGAGATCGCGACAGAGCAGACACTGCGCAAAAATTCGAGTCGCGTAAGGAGTTGGAGAAGCGCGGTTCAGAGCGGGGAAGTTTATGGAAGGTTTACCGACCAAATATCTCCGAGGTCCCCGACCGCGTTTCGGGGCCGACAGGTTCATGGAAGGTTTGCCGACCGAATATCTCCAAGGCTCCCGACGAGGCTGCGAGACTGCGAAGCTCCGCCCTGCAACGATTCTTGCTCTTGCTCGCACGGTGTCATCACATCTTGGAACACTTTAATGTCAATCGGGCGTTGTAGGTGCGTTGGCTCTCACACAAGTCGAAACGCGATCTTGCTTTATTATGCTTTGGCAGGATCTGCAACGACCAAACTTGCCTTGTTTGTTCCCATTGAGTCTGAATATATCTATCTATTCCAGTACTGTCCCTGACCTTGCCGTCGCCTATGTGTATTGCTAATTACGATGGCAGTCTCTCAGACATCGGGCTACTCTGTAGCCGCATGCTGTATGTATAACTAAAGAGCTGTGCCTCTTTTTGACCGAACAGGAGTCCAACGTCGAAACCACAAAGACCGATGGGTTGATCTGGCTCCCCACCTGTTGAATATTGCAGCCTGCATTTCTCCCAGATCACCCGCGGTGGCCTCTTTCCGTCGTGCTTCCAGGTACGTCAGGCGGTCTCCAGTGCGCGTCGTTGATTCATATCACCGAAACACTGCTGCATCCTTCATGTGTCGAGGCTAGGATGATTCTTTGTCTCTCTATCGGTGTCTCTCCACATCTCGTCCTTCGACGGTGCCACTTCCAGAGGCGAAGAAGCTGCGTTTCGATCGCGTGACCATTGAATGGGGATTGAGGATCGAACGTCGACTTCTTGCCTTGCGGATTCTCTTCGGTGGCATCACTCCCCTCGAGCGGCTCGTTCCGTTCCTTGAATTCACTGTGCTCACCTGTCCCTCTCTTTGACGTTCTGGCACCGAGGTGGCTTTTGATTACTTCTCCCTTTCCTTCGACTGAGGTAGACGTTCGGGCCTTCAATATCGTTCCGGCGTTGGAGTCGGGGTTAACGAATTCGGCCAGGAGAGGCCGCTCGAGGGAGGCCGCTCGTCCCGGCTAGGGCTTTGTTGTCTGGGAGGAGGGTCTCGGATATCCTGCGTGCTGTCACAGGCGCTCAATCGCATCGCACACCCTCTGCCCCGCGACCGCTGCATTAAGCCGCGCAATAGCAACTTCCAATTGCATTGGTGGTCCACCCCAATTTGAAAGGCATGAAAGACAAGAGAGGGGAGGAGGTTCGAGAATAACCGTGTCAGTTTATTCACTCCTTGCAAGTGGGAGTTGATGGTTGCGTGGCACAAGAACAAAAGCCGCAGCACAATTATCCGCCCAGACTTTGACATAAGACGCTCGCGCTCTTCAAAGACATCCATCCCCGCTGTCTGGGTCCACCCTCCGCGCTCGGCAGTAGAGCACCATTCGACTCGGGGAAAGCAATTCGGTTTGAAGGACATCCCGATATCTCCGTCGACCCAGCGACATCGGAATGGCAACCACCCCAACCGACAAGCCCGCAATTTTGCCCACATCGTACCACCGAACGATCGAGCAAAACAGGGATTTCACGAGATTATCCAGGTTATTGGATAGCGATCCTAACTGGAACTTTCATTGCCGAAGATTTACATATGCGGTCGCCATGCGAGTATCAGGCTCGTGCCCTCACGTCGAAAAAGGGGTGTTACTCAACGGTGAGCAAGTTTCTGAGGGGGCTAGTATCTTCAGGAGGTGAACAGGTCTCACAGCTTGGAAACCTTGCCTTTCAAGGTCGAATTTCTACCCCAGAATGAAGAAGTCGAAATTGTGCAGCTAGATGCAGTCGCGCAAGAACTGCGGCAATTGGTTCAAAGGAAGAATTCAGACAATTGATCCGATATCTTCAGACAAACAGCTGGTCCTTCAGTGATATCTGATACAAACCCCGGGTGGGTGCCGGGCATATGGAGCTTTCGGAGTGCTACAATCATGCGTCAAAATCACGTCTGGAAATGTGTTTGCTACGAAACAACTTCAGAGAACTAGATGCTCGTTTCCCAGATTGGAGATGAAGGGCGAGGCTCTCAAGCTACTCGAATGACATGTGAGTTTCGCTCTCGGTTCGACCATTTCCTGCAAGCTAGCGTTTCTCCGAAGCCGCATGTATGCTCGTTGGTTGACGTTGTCTACTGGGACGGAGACGACGTTTTGATGGGAAACAGAAACATCAACCCTCTTCGTACCGTGATGGACGTGGGCGTAGGCCGCAAGACCCTTATCAAGGTTTTTCATCAAGGCGGCCAAGGTGTCCGATACATCCACTATCGAGGCTGGATTCAACGTGATCTCAAGCCTACACATACCCTCGCCACCCGACGAGACCCCCTGCACATGGTCAGGGACCATCAACTATCTTCCTCCAGAAAATACTTCAACTAGAAAGGGCATTGGAGGACCACTTGACGGAGGATGCGAAGTCAACCCTGTCGGCCAATATGAACTGGTCGTTCAAAATCTGATGTCTTCAGCTGCCGGCTCGCACGTTCGCCTGAGACCTCTCCTAAATCAGTCCTACCACCATTAATTTGATTGACTATGACCCTGGGTACTAAAGTACTTACCTCCCTCACGCTTTGATCATTGGGAGGAGGCATTGTTGAGGAAGCTACATACTTTTCATGCAGACCAGACCAGACCGACTGCTCCAGAATCATTACTCAACGACACCTCCAAAGAGTCGAAAGGTAGTTCAACTGAGTTTTCGAGCACGTACAGGTACAGATACACAGACGAATCTTTCGACGACGGGAGGCAACGGCATCAAGGAGTCCACGGTCGCTGAGCAAGGCGTCGTGTGCATGGGTGTAGGTCGATCATTGCTGTTTGAGCCGTCGCCTGGCTGCAGTTGATTGAAACAAGTACAGCAAGGACAAGTTGACGTCGTTGATGGATTCAGAAGAAACGCAGATCGTCTTGCTTTTATGGGAAAAGGCCTCGGAATGTATGGAATGCGAACAGATGCGGTACTATCGACCCTTTTATCATTGGACGCTGATTGAATCCGATTCCGACAAGTTGAGGATATTCGTGCTTAACTCCCCCTGGAGCGTCGAAGTGTCACGATATTCCGCTTGTCAAAAGGACGCCATTGAACTCATGATCCAAATTCTCCAGTTGTCGAAGTTGTCTCAAGATTTCTGTGATCATGGGATCCGGGTCCGCGCCATCCAGACTTTGACAGTGACCGGGCTGATCAATAACGTTCTTTATCTTCACTGCGTCATGAACCCGGGTTGCAGGACTCACATCGCGCTGGACGAAGGAATGCTTTTAGCTCCTACACAACGGGGTATCGATCAAGCAGCAGTGTTCTGAAATCACTTGGTGACCATGCCATCCGAGCGACCATTGATGACAGCAGAATGCGGAGGCTGTTCAAGGTCGGCAGGGGCCTGAGCCAGGGAGACTGTCCTCGACCAGCACCGCGTCAATCAAGACCACCGTGTCCAAGTCCGGTCAGGATCATTAATTATCGACAGATCGGTAGAGGTTTAAGGGCTAAGCGATCGATAAGTGTTTCGACTTTGCCCAGATCGTTCTTTCACCTTTAACCTGTTCGTCGAAGTCATCCATGTCAACCTCCTGCATGTTGTTTCCGACTTTGGAAGTTCACCTTTTGCTCGAGAACGGCTCTACTACTTTACTTCTCGGACTTGCGTCTTAAAAGAGCTTGACTGGTATTCCGAGGTAGCTTGCACTTGGGTGGCCATCTTCGCCGGGGTCGGTTTTCCAAGGCTCTTATATACATCGATACGGAAGCATTTATCTTCAGAGCTAGCTTGTGAAGCTAGATTGCCCGGTAAAGGCGAGGTGAGTTTTATGCGCATCGGATGGCCTCAACCGCCCTCTCTGGCCAGCCTTGCCATGGCCAGCATCTGTCCATGAGTTTCTTTTCTTCGTCGGTCTCGGCAAGCTGGAGATATTTCCATCCTGGAACATCTTTGAGTGTTTCAAAGTCATCTGGGTCGGCCCTCCTATCCGCCGGGAGCATTCCCATTTCTGGGAATGCCTCAAGCATAGTCTGGATATATTCAATGTTGTCCAACTCCTCCTCGTCATGCCTCTTCCTCAGAGTGGTCGAGTTAGGGTTTGCCGCACTCGCGACCGTTGTCGAGAGGTATTCGTACGGGCGTTAAAAGGTAAAGGTCGTGCAACGAACATTCAAGCGAAAGAGTCTCTTTCTGGAGAGTACGTAGTCAATATTAGACCATAACTTAATATAAATACTAAAGTATCAGATAGTAGCGCAGCATGACGCATCTTCAGTACAAATACTTCGCCGTGCTTCAGGGGTCAGCCACGCGCTTTCACGTGGCGAGACTGACTGCCTGGCACACATTGTCGTCTCGGATCTTGTATTTTTGCTGGATGGGCTCAACCTCGTGACAATTCTGATAGTCTCTCGGTCCTTCTCTACCTTTGACCAGAGCATCCGCTACTTTCTGGTCAATCTCACCCTTTGTCGCTCTACCTCCACGAAAGAATCCACCGTGGCAACGCCCATCAGAGCCGACAGCCTGATTTTATACTCCTATTCCGCCTGCATGGTAGCCCTTCTCAACGAATCCGACGAGGAAAGAGGCTTATTGAACCCCCCAGGGCGCCAGCGGACTAGCACGCCAACTCTCTGACCAATGTCATCTCCACGGTCGCCTGTGTTCAAGATAGACGGGACACCCCGGGGCATATAGCTCCATATCGTTGACGCGTTGGACGCAAGGGCCACGCAGCAGAGAATCAGTGCCATCATCGACAAACTCCGGCAACTGCAAGATGGGTGGCCAAGTCCTCCTCCCAGACGACAAAGCCCTACCATGGACGAGCAGCCTGTCCCAAGTGGACTCTCCCGGCCTGAATCGAAGAATCCAACGCCGGAGCGAAATATCACGCTCAAGCCTCTACCTCTACCGGATAGAAAGAAGAAGAAGACGAAAGCCGCCCCACAGCCTCAAAGAGATGGAAAGGCAGGTCCCGAGAAGTCAAAGAACGGCACGGGTCGCTCGACGAGAGCCGTGCTGTCGAGTGGAATCCGCAAGGCAGCAAGCAGAAGGGTTGTCCTCGCTTCCTATTCAATGATCACGCGAGCGAAGCGCAGATCTTTGCCTCTGGGGTACAAACATTCCAATTTGTAAGGGCTGCCGCCATGGGGGCTATCGCAGATGGTCTGGAAGAAATGCAGCTCCGATGTTCAGCTAGCCGAGCTTAGATCGACCAGTGGGTATTTGTGGGTTCACCCAACGGGATCCTCCTCGATGGCAAGAGCTCTTTCGGCCAGCAAGGGGTCGTTGTGGAAATATTGTCTAGCGAAGCGTAGCTGAGCTAGAGTGTTACCGGCAAAACTGACAAAAAGGGCGCAATTTAATTGGTCCAGTCTCTACCTACATCAGTTCTGTAGCTTGCCATGGCCCCCTTCCCTTTTCCCTCAAAGTAGTGTGAGGGGAATGTTGATCCCAAGTGTGTGGTGCATAGTGGTGTGGTCGAATTCCGTCCCAGCCAAGTCGGTGTTTTCCCCTCGGACGAAGCCAAGTTGCGATTGATACCAGCCATCTTCATGGCGGCGGCCAGATCCCTCTCTTCCTTCACAATCCCGAACTCGTGCACGGACTGAGGCCTGCGTACTTTGGACTTGTGAAATGCGGGCGGGACGGACCCGAGGGGGAACCATTACATCTACTCATATTACGATGTAGCAAGTAAAAATATAAAATAGACCGTGCGGCGTAAACCCACCCCCCCAGACGCTAGCAAAGCTTCTTAATTAAGCGGTTTTCGTTTGGTTCTTGTGTAATAGCCTCTGACCTATCTTGCCATAGAATTACAGTGCTAAAACTGAGATGGCAGTGGCGGAAATGGAAACTGATATTAGGGGCGGAATAACTATGATCCGCGAGTCAGGTGTTTTGTGTTTTCAATAGCCAATCGATAAGCTCCGATAAGATCAACCGCCAAGATAGGCCTGGAGAGCACGCTATCCCGTTATGGTTAGCTCTATCTTGGCATATTTGCACCCCGTACAAACAAACATTTGGACTCCTCAGTATGTTTCTCAGCATCAACCCTTTAGTCGAACCTAGCTGATCCAGCAAGCACGATTGCTTAGGAGCTTTCCTCGAGGCAGGTCTTGAAATAAAGCTCCTGCTCCGCTTTGGACAGACATCGGTGGTAGGGACATGTGAGCCTGAGCGGTGCGAGCAATTTGCCAGGCTAACAGCTTCTCAAGTACCCTAATAGCATTGAAGAAAACGGCCTTAAATTTAAAGAGGACGCCCTGGGATTCGATAAAAACGCCCTTGTGGTACTGGAGAAGACGCTCTTGGAATGCGGGAAGATGCATTAGTGGCAGTTAATAAGACACTATCAGAATAGGCGTGAAGCCGCTCCAAGCCCGCGCGCTCCGAGCCCCCAAGCCCCCGAGCGGAGCCAGTCCTAGCTCCCGGTTAATTAATTGACCAGCTATTTAGTCGATCAGCTTCAACGTACACTAGACCATCCCAAACCATCCCAAACCATCCCAGACTATTTTAGTCGGTAGACCATCTCAAGTTCGACCGACTTCTTCGGTTTCTTAGACGGTGGACTATGCGTTTCGCTCTGAACATTATTCTCTTTATCGTCTTCTTTCGAGGTCTCCTCCGCAGGCATAGTTTCTTCATGTTTCCGTTTCTCTGCTCCGTTGGCACGCAACCGTGCCTCACGCCTGGTGATCCTTGCCTTGTATACCTCGGACAAGTCATTATAGTCTACTTTCAATGCCTCGATTTCTTTCAGAGCATCGGGTACTCGATCTTCCGCCTCCAGAAATGATGCGAAATCGAGACGAAGATTGATGGTGAGCTCGTCGGTTCGACCAAGAAGTTTGACGCTAGCAGAGACCGCATCTGCGTAGGCATTAGAGATTCCCGTGAGGCCGCGACCCTGAGGAGGTTCGCATTTCGCACATTCAGCCTTGAGTTCGACATATAGTCGTTTGGTTTGTTCATCGCGCGGTGCGGCGGGGCAGCATGTTTCCAAAAAGCGCCACCCCCTTGCATATCGCCCCTGGCGTCGACACGCCCGACACATTTCAAGAACCAGAGAAGGCATAGGACTTCTGACTGTGTCAAGCATGTCCAAGAGGTCGATGCTGGTGTCCGACTCGCGGAGAAGCTCGGCAAGTTCTGTCTGACTCTTAACGTCATCAACGCCTCTATGAAGCAAGGTCAATGAGGCTATGTAGTTCTACACAATGTAAGCTTGAAACCCATCAATGAGAGATTTGTGGCGCACCCTGGATCTGATCATGGTTGAATACAACTGGTCGATGGCTTCACGGTCTGCACGTTTATAGTATTCCCACCATGCCGCCGAAAGCTTGCTTTTCTGGCGAGCAGACCCGAAATCGAACAACATGCCTGAAGCGAATATATTATCACGTCTTATGTCACAGTGGACCCATCCAGCGTCATGAATGATATCAATCGTCTCCCGTAGGTGTTTGTGGATTTGGTCGAAGGTCGGTTTGTCGACATCGTTCTTGCGAAGGGTTGATTCGTGGATGCGCTCGAGGTAGATGAGGCGTTCGTGGCGTCTTCTGCCACGGTATTGTGGTATGCGACCACGAAGGCTTTCCACTTTGCTTAAACATTCGTAGGCGTGGAGTTCCGTGTAGTATGCATTTCTGTTCTGGACCTGGTCTGCCAGTTAGCACAACGCGTCGGCAAAGGAGTACTGACACACCTCTTTGATCGCATACTTGGTAGTGCCAATAACCTGTCCGAATCTACCAAACGCGAGAATCTCTCTGTCCCCCTGCATCATGTTATATCGTAAGTTCTTTGTGAACGGCTGTTGTTGAAGTTAGTGTGGTGGTTGACAAAGTTGTTGTGGTGGTGATGATGATGATGCGTCCATTGTTTTGTTTTGCCTGCGGCGGCAATACCTCGGGCTCCGGCCTTGGCAACGTTATCCGGAGAATTTATCTGCCGGGTATGTGCTAGCCGAAAATGTACTAGCAGGACTTGTCCCTGGAAACCGCAGTTAGGCTCCTGTTTACAGACAGACACGCCTCTAGCACCCTCATCGATAGCCAACAGTTGGCAACGCAGACAAACAATGCTCGTGGCCAAGTGCCGCCGTTCGCATGATGGCGCAATCTCCTTTCAACGCACCTCGTGCCCGCGCAGCGTACATCAAACCCCAGCATCCCACCGACCCCCTTAACCTGCCGTCACCACGTGAGACACATTTCCTTCATCCCGGCTACCCCGACGATGACTCTTTGTTACTGAGTCTGCCTGCTCTCGACAGTCCTGACGGTATTCATCACCAGACAGCATTGGATGTATGTGCCCTCGTGGCCGGTAACAGGTGGGATGGCTTCTTCACACTCGATAAAGACGGCAAGCTGCGAGTTCCCACGGACAACATGGATGCTTCTTTGCACGGAAAAGCGTATTATTTCCACGTTCCGGCAGAGGATAGTGATAACCCAGGTGATATCCCTTGAACATGTAACCGGCTCCAGCTGACAACAACCAGGCATCCGCAAAGACTACCCTATTGTGCCGACCTTTACAGAGTGGAAATTCCCTCACAACACTCTTCCAGCGCGCTGGAGCCGGGAACCTACCTTTGAACCGGCCGACGTTCGACGATGCCTCCTTTCAAAGTCGATCAGCCTCCTTGAAATCGCCCATATTATCCCTCGGGATATGTTCGATGAGAAGTGGTTTAACGACAATGGAATGCTCCGCTACGATGGGATCCACAGCAACAGAAACATCATGACTTTGAAGGTGGATGTGCACCAGTACTTTGATCGCAAGCCCAAGTTCGTGATTGTGCAAAAGTATGGCAAAATGGTGGCACATTTTTTGAGATGTCGTTCTGCCGAGGAACGCGAACCCGTCGAGCTCTACCACAACGTCCCAGTCGCCATCGCCGAACAGCACCACTGCTTCCTGCTGGCTCGGCTCGCTTGGACCGTCTTCCCACTTATCGAGCTTTTCCTGAAGAAAGGTGTGTCGCGACGCCTCCTGCGCAAGACTGGCGAGGGCGTTGAAGTCGTGGAAGAGAATGCTCGGAGGTGCATCCAGGCCTTTCTGGACGGCCAACCGCGGAGTGCAAGTCCCACGAAGCGGGCCCGAAAGGACAATGGGGAGGCGCAAGACGCGTGTGACTGGGGGAGCCAGGACGCGAGTGGTTGGGAGAGCCAGGATGTGAGTGATTGGGAGAGCCAGGACGCGAGTGACTGGGAAGAGCAGCTACGGGGGCGAAAGAGGAGGCGCGAGTTGTCAGTGTGTGGTACGCAACATGCGCACTTGATATCAGGTGAATAGGGAGCCGGAGCCAGAGCCAGAGCCAGCGGTCAAGCCAGAGAGTTCAAACCCTCCGGTGATTGAGGTAGGCGTGTACCCAATACGAGTAATCTGTCTATACACGATCCCTGGGCTGATCCACTACATGTCCTCAAGATAAGATAATATTGTGTATAGATCTAGTTCTTAGGGCATTTCAGTGTAGGACAGACTGTCGGCATAGTTGCCAGAGACCGACTCCACGTGATAGCAGAGGCGGGGGAGAGAGTGAGGGAGGGGCTCATTGCCAACAATCGTCGCCTTATGTATAAGACTCCTCTCCACTCCTGTCTCGTTGATGTCCCCCTGCTCCAAGATGCGTACAACTCTAAGAGCTTATCTGACCAGTCCAAACGTTCCTCTCAGCTTACACCCCAAAGCGACTTGCGCTCAAGTGCGGACCGATGGCGCAGCACAAAATTGGCCGCCGGTAGACAAGTGGCGGATCTGGGGAGACTTCAACATGGACAATATCGAAACTCTGTTCGGAACTCTCCTTGACACCACCTTTGAAGTTGCGGATCCACTCCCACCTTTGAACTCACTGCGCTGTCTTCGTTATGAAAGACACCTCGATTTCATTCTGATACGACAGAACAGCGTTATTGTCAACGAAGCACTACGGGTAGCCTGCAGTCATCTAGGCCTACGCCAGGTGGAATGGATAACGGGCGGGGGTGATTCTGAAGATGGAAAGTTCCCGGACTGGAGTGGCATCCAGGTGTCTGGTTCCAACAATGAGAAGAGCATCGTTCCTGGGGATACAAAGCTCACCGAAGATGTCCTCAAACCTGCGACTGACAAGTCAAGTTCGAAGCTAGACTCCGATAACCTACCTGTATCAGATAAAAAGGATCCCAAAACTGAGCTAGCTCGGTCGTGTTTACAGCAGGTCAACTACTATGCCCATAGCTACAACGCCCGATATTTCTATGTTATCACCAACAAAGAGCTATTTCTGTGCCGTAGGACGACGGATTTACCTCATGGAACTCCCCTCGCCACCCGCAGGACAAAGAGACACACAGTCACAGATCTCCATACCACTCCCAACCGGCCGCTTGCTTTTTATCCATCATCGCCGTCTCCGATGACTGGGCGAGACAGATCTACAGCCGGTACCTCTGTCTCACCGGCTCAGTCATCTGGTGGTCAATCAACGCCGTCTTGGATCCCTGGACGAGACAGACCTAGAGCCGCTACCCCTAGCTTACCGGCTCTGTCACCAAGAGTCCAAAAGTCCTCGCCTCGTACTGTATGTTACAAGCCTTGTGTGTCTGAAGATCATTGTTGATTTCATCTAGCCTTCACGTCATCCCCCTTCCGATCCCTCTTCCGACTCTACCTATCAGCCAGACAACACGGCGCAAGACACGGAGAATCTCGAAGCCGTTAGCATTGGTTGGGGATCGGAAGAGGGATTGACTGTCAATCTTGGACTCTTTGTTATTCATCTACTGGCACTTGTCTCGCACGAGATTCGGCCAGAATACCATCCGATTGATGTTGATCCAGAGTATTGTGCAAAGTTCCAGGGGTTCATGTCGTGAGCAAGAGAATGGGCCACGATGGCGTTTACAAGGGTGTATTCTTCGATCTCAAGGGTGTCTTCTCTGATTCTCATGATGTCTTGTTTGATGTTAACGACATTTTTCTTTGATCTTGACGACATTCTTCTTTGGTTTCAACGACATCTTCTTTAATTCCATAGGTCTCTTCTTCGATTCTAATGATATCATTTCTGAATCCAAGCACTTCTTCTTCAACACTGATAGGGTGTCTTCTTTGGATCCTCGACACACGTACACGTCCCCTATATTCCATCTTCCCTGCCGCAAACGTCCCATGTCCACCCCACAGGCGATCAGCTAAAGGCAAACACTCACGTCTCCTGCCCGCGACATGTCGGGCGCTCGTTTAGCCTGCCCGCCTTCCACTGCCTTACTCGCATTGACAGATTCCCCCAGGGTCTCCTCCATCCCGAGACGCTGCAAGCGTCGTGAGTAGGTAGGTCTCGTTGTATAAAAACCTTTACCCCGGACCGTGATGCTGACGATGACGAGGATCATCGGCTTCCGCGGGAATAAGCAGGCGAACAAGATCAGTATAATTACAAAGCAAGCACCGAGCTGAGCTCCATGACTCCGATCAACGAGAGCTGTTTGTCTCTCCACCGACGAGCCTGATGCTCTGTCTCTGTCTCAATTTCTGCTTCTTCTGCTGATGCCGCCGGGGGAATGTTGTTCCCTCCCGCGCCCGGGTGCCTTTTGGTTTTTACTTGTCGTTGGTTGGTTGTCTGTCTGTTACACAACGCCTTCTCGTCACGTGGTATAATGCCACCAGGTGGCATTATCTCATGCTGTCTGTCTGTCTGTCTGTCTGTCTGTCTGTCTGTCACGGTGGCCAGGCTGCGGAATGTTCGCTACGGTGGGCGGATATGGTATATTGTCTGCATGTGAAGCGCCATTGGGTGTGTAAGAGGCCACGCCGAGTCTCCAGGAGGGGGAATGGGAATGGGAATGGGAGTTGGTGGTTCGTCAATGCCAATGCTCACAAGGTGCGTTTTCCATTTTCGTGTCTCATGGCTCCAAGGAGATCAGATGAGATGGCTGATGGCTGATGGCTAATGTTTGATATGCGGGCCTACCCCGAAGCACGTCCGACCAGGACAACAGAAGTCCGGCTGTCCCGCTCGACCCGACCGGTGTTCTCTTGGGGGCTCTACTCTGCTCTTCTCTACCTCTCCGACAAGCGGTATCGACACACGGACATTATATCATATCATATCACATCCTTACCCCCATTTACTGCCCCGGTCTCGGGAACGCATGCATCCCTCAGGGGGGTGCAGGACATGAAAAGGTGGCAGCCGTTCCCTGGGCTTCGTTTGGCCATGACATTGTGAACGCTGCGGTACGGGCAGGACAAGACAAGACAAGACATGGCAAATGAGCCCCAAACCTTGTGCTCTGCTCTGCACTCCATTCGCCGAAGGCCTGATGACAGGTATTCGATCGCGCGTGTCGAAAGAGCCACGGAGTCTCCTGGCTGGCGGACCTGCGGACGGCGGACGGCGGTATGCTATGTTTGTGTATATAAGGACGGCCAGATGGTCCGTTGATACTCGATCGAATCGGATCACCTTGGCTGATCTTGCGTTTGAATCGGTGGTCAGTGGTCAGTGGTCAGTGGTCAGTGGTCAGTGGTCAGTGGCCTGTGGGTACGGAGATATCCTTCCTTCAATCCCTTCGAACAGATTCCTGACCTGGCCATTTCTCGGTCACACTCGCTCGCCAGGCAGCCACGCAGCTCCGATCCCAGACGTCCTACATCCCAAGGTCCTCTTCTACGGTATCATGTCTGCCCGATCCACATACAGGAGAAGAGAAGGGAAAAGAAATGCAAACACCAACACACAAAGGGCCAAAGGGCGCCAAAATCGGCCCAAGGTTGGGTAGCGAGGAGGATGCAAGGGCTCAAGGCCGCGATGCAAGGCCGAGTGTCTCAAGGAGCAAGGAGCAGAGAGGAAGTAGCAAACAAAGGTATTTCCGCGTGTTGTGTATGTACATATGTAGAGAGACGTTCAAGCACTCTCTCGTCCTCTTGCATGTATCCATGGGCTATCTATGTTTCATGTTCGTTCTCCTCGCTCGAGATGAACACACATCTTTGCGTTTCTCTCCTATAATGTCGTCCCTGAGACTTGCTTGAATCGAACGGCAATCCCCGCTGCAGAGCAGTATCGCACACGCATTTCTTGTAGTGCCCAACTAGATGATGGATCAGGAGCTTGACTTTTCAGCGGATGGGACGGTAAACTCACAGGGTATGGGAACAGTCTCTGATTTTGGGGGCTTGATCACCTCTTGGCCTCGGCCTTGCCTTGCCTGCTCGAGATATATTCCTTTCTCGCCATGCGTACCTCGCTCCTAGTCTCGAATAGTGTTCACTGTCTGCGGTCGTGAGTCGTTGTCGAGCCGTCCCTGCGGAGGCGACCGAATGGCGAGATCTGTGGGGCGGAAGAGGTCGAACCCTCGGTCCTCAGTCCAATGGCAGTCGACGGCAGAATGAAGACCGCCGGAAGGAGGGGAGAAATTATTTCAAATCAGCGCAGGGTCAGGTGAAGCCGGAGTATATCATTTTGGAGTCATCACGAGTTTACTGCGCGCGTGTGAACTGGTCGTGACGCGGGTTGGCTACTTCGGAGCGATGCTACGAAACCCGGCGCATTGGGACAGCTAAAACGGTCGTTTCTGAACGGGGCTGACAGTTACGTGCTGATGGAGCAAGCTTTGAGAGGCCACGACTGGTTTTTGGACCGTATAAATGTCTCATTTTCTTGCCCTGGGGCTTGACTGCGGGCCGGTCTTTGGTGCCGTGGCCCAGAAGGAGGCGATGCCGATGTCTCGGAGCGTAACATGGCTGTCCGCCTCAGCGAGAAACGTTTCGTATTGAGGTAGTGGTTCGTTCAACAACGTCGTGGATTAGTCTCCGTGCCTGCGGCCAAATTGAGTCCTGGTCTGATTGTTTTATACACAAATGAGGAGTCGCGATACAAGACTTGCCGAGAATCCTGCTACGGAGATCAGCGGCTGGCGGCAAAAGACTCGGTCTCGGAGATTGCACTACGAAACCCGGAAACACCGGATAAGCTCAGGATTACGAGCAGCTCCATTGCAAGTACCGAGGACCGAGTTACCGAGTACCAATATAGTTTCACTAAAGCCGGATGTCTTCTTAGTAGCGAAGGGATCAACCTGCCCGCCTCCCCGTCGCCCCACAGGCTTCGAGAAAATGGAGCCCATCATAATTACTGGATCTGTTATTGAAACCCGATCGTTACAGAGGTTCTGCGGGTAGTTTCTCTTCTTCTTGGATACCCCCGTGGCCTTTGCCAACCGCTGCAACAAACAGTGATATTCCTGCTAGCTTGGGCGCGAGTGGACAGACACCTCAATGGCACACTTTCCGAGAGATCCCCGAGCCAAGATTATCACCCGCTGACCCCGATCCACAACTGTTGGTTGCTGTCCTGGCGAGGGAGGGACGAGGTAACCGATCTGTGTGGTATCATGGTACGTGTGTATCACTGCGTTTTCTCGACATATGTGCACCAAGTCTTGCACGGCACTCAGTGCATTGAGCCGTCTCCCGAATTCCTCGCTTTTCTCTTCAGCGTTCTCTAGACGGGCCGTTGTTGGCAACGGCCAGAACTGTGACATTCCGATCGAGGATCTAGTGGATGTGGAGAGGGTGGAGGCATTCACGTAGGTTCATAGGAGGCATTCGGGGAAGCCGGAATGGATCAGGCTGGCCGCTGGTGTGAGTTTCCAGGCGGGTCCAGAGGGAGAAAGAATGGGGCATCATAGAGTACTATAACTGCATCGCTCACGCCTAGAGATGTGCGTAGAGAATAGAGCCTCGGGGGCATCAGAGGTTGCAGGCGGGGTTTCGTTGTGGTGACCGACCAGGTTAGGTCTAGCGGGAATTATCACGTGACCGAACCCAGGCTACCCCAAACTGCGCCTGTTTGATAAACATTTACCCCTCATACACTGTTTCACAGGACTAACTCCTACTCCCACAGCCTTATACTGCGCGTTGCCCTTTCGCTCTTACCGATGCCTCTGACTCGGCGACCCAATCCTGCCTCCGCGCAAAATAACAGGCGCCAAAGCACCACCGGACCTCGACCGAAGAACCCCGTCGTGAAGTCCTCGCGGCGCGCCAGCACGAGACGGAGCGCGCGCCTTCAACACGCCCAACCGTCCCCTCCTCCCGCACCCACTCCTCAGCCAGCGCGAAGCAAACGGAAGCGCCTGCATGAAGACTCTGAAGCTGAAGCTGAAACCGACGCGTCGAAACGCGTGTGCCCTTCCAAACAGCCCCGAGAGCCCCTCCGTCCTGAACACAAGCGCAGTGAAGTGAACCTACAAAGAGAACGTGAAACCGAAGCCGACGCCGAAGCCGACGGGCCAGAAGGCGTGTGTTCTTGCAGACAGCCACGAGAACTCCAGTCCGATCACAAGCCCTTTGAAGAGAACGTACAAACAGACCTTGAAGCTGAAGAACTCCCTCCTTCCAAGGACCAGCTCTCTGAGAAGAACTTGCGGTTATTGAGAATATTGAATGGTGAAGAGATGGGCTCCGCAAGCAACAGTGCTCCGACTCTCAGTCGGACGCCTTCACGACGTTCCATGGTCACGTCAGAAGTGGGGACAGAAACAACCCGACGCACTTCGCACTCAGCCCTCGTCTATCGCCAGACCAATCTTAAAGACGTTCGGATTCGCATACACGCGGAGCCGCCTGATCACATCCAAGCCGCTATCGACCGCATTATCACCGCCGAAGTCTCACAGGAGCGCAGATCCGAACTCCGCGTCATAGCCCAAGAACTCCGCAACCGTTTGTTCTACTTTGTTCGGGCTGAGGCTAATGAGGAGAACTTTATCAAGCCACTTGACAATGCTATCGAGGCCCTGCGTCTCAGGAGCCTCGGTGTCATTTCAAAAGGTGACTGGCGAGTGGATCTTAAGCCAGTGGTGTACAAGCCCCGGAACTACGGTCACGACATTATGCCTAGGAGCCAGCAACGAGAGGTTGACGACGTCTCGGCTCCACTGGGGGAGCGCCAGCAGCATACGCCAGCCAACGACCCCCAGTCATCGAGCATACCACCTTGTCTTCCCCCTCCTCGGTCCTCGGTCAAAACCCCTCGTCCCGACATCTCAATAGGTATAGAAATGACGGCTCTCATCTCTTCTCTCGCAGCGGAAAATCTCACCGAGGAGCAGATCAGCGAGTTCCTCGATTGGCTCCAGGAAGAGATGGTACAGCGTGAGCCAAACGGGCCGCTAGAGTCAATACTGAATCCGGTACCCGGACCACGTACTTTGAACCTCGCCTTCCCATTTTTTGTTGTCGAGGGCAAAGCCTACTCGACAGGCCAACAAATCTACGAGGCAGAGAACCAAGCTTCGGTTTCTGCGGCTTGTGGACTCAAGATACAGCTTGATCTTGAAAGCCTAGTAAATTCCGTCGCAACAAAGTGCGATGTTCTACCTACAATGTCGAACACTGGACCGCCGCTCTTCTTCGCCATCTGCACACAAGGCCCCATCCACGAGCTTTGGGCCCACTGGACTGTAGCTGATGTTGGTTCTCGCAAGTTCGGCTCGAAGCTTTTGGCCAGTTGGAATGTGCTGTTGTTGGACCGGGGACAGGACCTCATGATTGCACTCAATAACATCGGCACTTGGGGTGCAGGGTCGTTTATGGAATCAATCGTGGAGCGTCTGAGGTTTGTGGAGAAGACCATGAGGTCCTGGAATGAGTCCCATGTCTAGCGTTGAGCGTTCGATGAGCGTTTTTTCGGTGTTTCCTGTTACGTCTTGCTTGTATGGTTTCAGATCAGGGAGAGCTGCACAACAGCAGAGGGAGAATGAGGAGGAACTCACCCTCGACACAGACAAGTCCATGGAGCAGGCCAAGGACAAATGACACAGTGGGCCAGGGAGGTGCTGATGGCCAAGGAGGCCACGACACGGAAGGATAATGACTTATGATTGTTTCACAGCGTACTTTTGTAATTCGTTCTTGAAGGCCGCGTCGATTTGGGACGTGCCTTGGGCCATCAACCATTATCGAGGCAGTCACCGCATACACCTGACATAATTCTAGAATGTCTCGGGCTGGAGGTAGGAATCGTAATCACGGCGCAGGGGCCCCTTTGTTATCATTCTAGTGCTGAGGTTCCCGACACCCTGACGAGTTTGCTAAGTTACAGGAATGAACGCCGTGCCCTTCCTTGATGTAGACACCAAACCTCATGATCCCACATCATCCGCCAACGTGATTTCCCGTTCGGATCTTCAGTGCAGCAAACGCTCTGCTCTCAAGCCGATGAACGTCCTCAACCGCTTGATCTTCTCCGCCATGTCTGAACCGGCAGGTTGTAGACCCAGCTGTTGTAGGAGAGCATCCATCTCATCGCCACTCATCTCGTCAATATCTGCAGACGTGGCTGGGAATCCCGGGATGGCGGCTCCGGTTGAAGGACTGACGAGGGGCGTGAGGGGGTCATTTGCCGTCCGAAGGTGGGTATTTTGGACTCTAGCTATGTTGTTGAAATCACTGGAGAGAAAGCTTTAGTGTGGGAACATGAAGGGGTGGGCGGGAGAGGTAAAGAGAATGTAAGTGAGTACCTTGCTGTGATTCTGGTGGCCAGGTTTTCGACGTGTTGACGGGTGGCTGCGAGCTCGTGCTCCATGGCTGCGAATCGCTCTCTGATTTCCTGTCTCATCTGCCCGATCTGCGCGAGGATGGCCTCGTCTTTAGAGACTGCGGGACGGTGTGGAAGTCTGTCCATGTCGGTGGCGGCAAACGTGCAACGATGTCTCGATGTGATATCCTGGTCGTGAGGGTAAAATGTAAAGGCAAAGTGCGATGGTGGGGAACAAGCCATGGGCCCCTCGGTACAGTTGCCTTGGAACTTCGCCATGGGGCGTTTTACCCAGCGCCATCCAATCAGCAGGTGCGTTGGGAATCGCGCAGTGACGCGGAGATGGGAGTGATGGAAATGACGTCGTGAAGGCCACGCGAACCGTGGCGCCACCACATGTTTGAAATCCGTGCCAAGAACAGAGATAAGCGCATATCAGCACGTGATGTTGACCAATTTATCCGGCCGAGTTCCCAAAATACATTAGTGTGGCGGTTCAGTATCGAACCATTCCCATTCGGGATACATCGCGGAAACGACCCGCTGCGCGCTTGAACGGACCTCTCATCAAGCCCTTTGGCGACTGACAACCTCGTTTAGTTAGCGTAAGGTCATTCAGATCCCATACCATGTTGTAGGTGGGCACGGAAGCAAAGGGAAAAAGGCCATAATGGCCGTGGGATTGTGCTGAAATAGCTATGAATTGCTCATTGCGGACTGTCTGGGCTGTCTGATCTATCTAGAAGAGAAAGACTGAGAACAACAACAAGAGTTCTAGTCAACCAGGAGCAGGAGTAGTTCCTTCCCTTTTCCTGCAAGTCCGTGTTGGTCACCCACTCCCCATGATGTGACACACTTGGCGGCATTGTTGTTGATAGATTCCTCAGTTGCGGGGTCTGAGATTGTATCCATGGGTCGGGCTGTTCGAACGAGCTCTTTCCACGGGCGGGCCAGAATCATCAATGCCTTCTCCTCCAGTCCCCATTTGATACTGTTCCTCGGCCACCTCAAGCATGTCGCAGAGTTCGCCGACGGGAATGAAAATAGAGACTTGATCGAGATCGTCAAACGTGCCTTTTGGTCTGCGGTAAGCGAAATCTTCGAGCGAGAGGCGCAGGCCGGCGTTCGTGTCTTGGTTCCTCTGACCATCCTTGCTGCGGATCTCCACAAGCTCGCGTCTTATTCCAGTGAGGCCCCCTTCCGGATTGAGTTTTGGTCTCCAGATCGACAGTGTAGCTCTCTTCCCGGCTTGATAGTCAAAATCGAATCCAACAACGGTACGCACAGCTGCATTTGTGCCCCAGATGTAATCTTCTGCGAGTTTTGCCAATTCCTTGGTGGTTTGAGAGTTGGCCACCTCGAGTATGCAGCTAGGTTTACAGACAAGGTGGTAGACCCATGAACCATCTGGCGAACGCTCGGTGTTCTTCTTCGCAGTCGAGAAAGGAGGCGGATAGTAAAAGGTGCTATGGCGGCGATCAACGATATGCTTTGCGAATTCTGCGGTCGTCGAGGCAATATCCTTTTGCTCCGAAATCTGCCTTAGTTGATATTGGATTTCGAAAGCAGATCGGGCCAGGAAGACCTCGTGCGTCTCGTGATTCGGCATCCTGAGGATGAAGGTACAATCACCTGCAGAATAGTCGTATCTATGATTCCAGGTCAGCGAAAGTTCACGTCAAAATCGCGGGAAAAGAATGCAATACCGCAGATTGTACACCTCAAGGACATCCCTCTCCAGTCTCTTCAGTTCTTCGAAATCCTCAGGAGATAGGTAGTACTCTGACCAGTATGGAGTGCAGGAACTAAGTGACTTGATCTGATGGATGACGTGTGCGAGTGCGGGTGACATGTCTTGTGTGATGGGCGAGGGTGGTGACTTTGGGATACGTGACGAGGATGCGGAACCATCACCGATCGAGCTAGACCGCCGAGTTTGATCTTGAGTAGAAGACTTGGGCACGACATCCTCCTGGGCCGGAGGGCCATCGTGGTTGTTTGCCATCGAAGTCATTGTGCATAACAGGATGGACTGACTGGTGATGAAGTTGGTAACATATTGAGCGCGACAGCTTTGGTTTAAATATTGGTTACTAGCGTCGAAATTCCTTCGGCGATGCACAGAGTCAAGCGCTGCAAGTGTCTTCGGCAGTCGATAGACTCATATGACGCAGTTCTGCACGACATTTCCACCGTCACTGTGATGAGATTCACGTCTTGTCCCAACCAAACTTTCATGGGCGGTAACGGGGACAATGCTTCATTGTCATGCCGACAGCCTTGATCCATGTTCTTGACATGACACCTTTGTCTGGTCACGGTTTGCTGCGTCCGTTGTCAAGGTCTGTTCTCAACCGTGACACAAGGCAACATCATCAGCTTTACTTGGATATCAAGAATCATGCATCATGCTCTGTAAGACAACGTCTACAGAGAATGCAGGATCCGCGAATCCTGTCACGTCCTATCCGTGGCTGGGCCAACCTGATTTCTACTACATTTAAACTGTCTACGTTGGTTGAGAGAGAGTGATCGATCCCTTTTCTTTCCCCGACCCCTGCACCTCTAATTCTACAGAGTTGTATACAACATTGTGACCCTGTAAGCTTGTAACAAGACACATTCGCTCGGCCGGTTTCCTCTCTGCCATTGCCATCATCTTTCTTGTCCGCCCGTTGGATTTCCGGGGCCTCTTTTCTTACCATAGGGCCGGGGCTTCAGAAGAATGAGTTTGCCTGCGGGATTCCATTTCTAGATGCAATTCTACGGGGTATGCGTACGGATATGTGCTGATACTCTACTACGACCTCTAGGGAATGAATGAACTCAGGATAGTGAGCGAACTACGAATTGGGGGTTCAGCACACAGCCGCCATTGCAGTCCAAACAACAACCCCCCCCCCCCCGGCCCTCTTCCCCCCAAAGATTCCGGATTCTCGCTTAACGTTCGGCAGATTCTGTCACTGCCAACCACCATCACCACCGCCACCACCAAAATTCACACGTTGTGGGTGAGACCAATTCTCCTGAGACACGATTCTGACTGACTCCTACTATTCCCGCTATCCCGGACCTCGTCGTCGCCTATCTATATAGCCTGCCCATGATATTAATCTCAGAGATCAAGTCCTGCTGTATCTCAAGCAGGACTCCTGATTAATGACCTTGTCTTGACTGGCCTGCCGCTTACGAACAGATTACACTTACCTCCGCTAAGGACAGGACTTTGTTCAGGAAAGATTTCAGGCAAAGCAAAACGGCCTGGCTATGGTCACTGGGGTTTCCGGATGGGTAGATATACTATCCAGGGCGAATCGATTGGTGGAGGGGTTTCCAAGTACACATTCCCACCTCATCCTCTCAAGGGTTTTCTATCGGAATTGAATTCTCTCGATGTTTCTGTGGTAGCTACAGTAGAAGAAAGTCTGCATATCCCTCCATAAATCGCTGTTAATCCCTCTCTACACGTTATTTCCGTAGTTCCTGGCGCGCTGTCGATGGGAGCGATTCCTATTCCCTCCGGCAGCAAACGAGCAGTCTCCCAGGAGCCGAGAGCTTTCAATAATCATGCCGCTCGGGATGTATGGTAATGACGCTCTTTGACATACTCGTCCGTCCGTCTTGAGGCAGAGTGCCCAGCTCCCCGTAGATGAGCAAAAGATGGATCGAGGTCTTGTGAGTTTGATCCGGCCGAATTCCAGTGAGTGGATATTCAAAGTCCATTTCGACACCGATCAGTCCAAGCCGAAGGCGGCAAGAGCCATGAAGACCGGATTTATAGTGTTCGCAGAGAATCCGGTCTTCCGCGCCTGCCAGATGCTAAGGTTTTGTGCAACTTGATTTCTTTCTGGTGGTCGTATCATTGATTGATCTTCGGCTACCAGTTGACTTCAGCTTCCGGAGAGGCCTCGTGCTGACTCGATCCTTGATTTGTTGCTGTGTTGCATGAACGAATGTCGTGACGGATATATGTCAAACCAGGCCTTAAGGTCTCTTCCTTCGGATTGATATCCTGGCTGCGCAGCCAGGCAACATTTCCCAAAGACCAAAACCTGGTTGCCGGTTCATTTTTGTTCTTGCTGTTGTTGTTTGACGCCGCATCACACGGAGCCGCGTGAAGATGATGCCGGGTGCCAATACTCTCTGCACAGGCAGAGGCAATCCTGCAGAAGGTGTCTCCGCAAGTAGTCCGTGATATTCAGACAGCAGATCCGACACGTCAGATACTTGACCTCCTTTGGATTCTCACTCGCAGTGCTCAAATTTGTCCCTAGATGTATATTTCGTGGCCGCAGCTGCCGTTTCTCCAGTACCAGTCAAAGACGTCGAGTGCGGGCTGCGTCAACCTTTTGATTGAGCTTGACGGCCTCTGTGCATTCCCTGGCCTTGTTTGTGCAAGACGGCCCATAATTGCGGTGAACTCATCGACGAGATCGCGCGTCAACGCCATGGAGCGGTTTGGCCGTGGCTGAAAGTCGATTGTGTCTCGGGCTGCTGGCAAATGCCATAGACAGAAGCCGTGGCCTCAACTCGACTCCCGAATTTGGCACGAATGGCTTTCGGTCGGATCCCGAGAGCACAAACGACCGCAGGCAGGTATTTCTCTTGGATTCTCTCATCTTCGGTCAACACCACCAAAAGTGCATTCGCCCTTTTGATGGATCAGGGTCGGGGCTCTTCAAGGACAGAGGATACAAGCTGAACGACCCGCGCGACTTGCCATGATTGAAGGGCAAAGCACCCGGCCACACCAGGGACTTGAGCAGAGGCTCCAACATGCATACCTGGTCGTCTCATTTGCTTCATACACTGTATCGCGTCCTCCCCCTTTCATTTCAATCTTCGTATGCCTTCCGATCTTCGTCTGGCCTGATGCGTTGGAGCCGCGCGGATCGTTGGTATGTTATGGTCCTCCTCTTGTCTCACTCGTATGCACTCCATCTCTTTCACCTACTGATTTGATACAAAGCCCAGCCGCAAATTGGCTCCAAAATATCACCAGCACAAGACTGGCTCGGCGGGTAGTGTCAATAGTCCCAGTCCCTCCTCTTTGTTCCAAAAGCTGAAAGCAGGTACGTGGATTCGTAGAGATTGAACATCTTTGCTCACGGTCACGTCTCGAAGCAGGCAAGGGTATCGTTGGGTCGAGGAGCAGCGGTCGACGAGGTAGAGGAAATGGATCTAGCGAGAACTCTCCCAAGCGGAGGATGCGTGGCGAGACATGGTGTTGCACTGTGGCAGGCAGGGTTAGTTCGAGGACCACGACGATAATGCAACAC